GGGTGACATCAGTTTGACAGCCAAGCTGAGGATGGATTAGAGTGGGGAGAGACTTGAGACAGGCAGACCCACTAGCAGGTTACGGCAATAATTCATGCATGAAGTGGTAAGGGCCTGCACTAGAGTGGTGGCAATGTCGGAGGAGAGAAGGGAGTATATGCAAGAGAGTAAGTGGGAGAGAGGGTCAGCCTAGGAAAGGGAGACCATGGCAATAGGACTCTGGGGATGAGGGAGTGTGACCAGTAAGCCAAAGCCTGTCGCTAGAAGGAAATACACCCACCTTATGTTTGCACCTCAAGCAAACCTCTCGATGTTCCAAGCCGGTTATGACTTTGCCTACCCGCGTGGCCATGGGCAAGTCACTTAATCTTAGGAACTTATTTTCCTTAGCTTTATAATGGGAATAATAAAACTATATCTATTTCCCAAGGTAGCTATGTGAGGAAAGTACTTTGTAGACCTCAAACAGCTCTATAAATGTGAGTCATTTTTAAACATCCAGAAAAGTGAGAGCAGCCTTTGGAGGACTGGAAAACTAGAATCAGGATCAGAAATCTTGGTTTGTATCAGCTACAAATCAGTTCAGGGGTTGAGAGCACAGATGGCTGTGGGAAGGAATATGACTCTGGCATCCTTCCCCTTTGTCTCATTTATTTCCAAGAGCAGACAGCTTTTCACCCCATTGATTTTTTTTTTTTTTAGGGATCATTCCATTTCTTTACGATTCATTTTCTCTCCTCTCAGCAGTCCTCAGCATTTGTGTTTCTTTTTGTACTGATCAAAATTTGCTGGCTATGGAACGACTGCAACAATATCAGATGAAGACATCTTTATTGACTGACTATATTCCTTTTCTCTTGAAATAGTGTCATTTATTGAAACCCTTCACATGCTGGCCTCTCCCTACTTTTCCAGTCTTCTTATACCTTACTCCTCTCCACATACTCTGTGATCCAGTGACACTGGCCCCCTGGCTTCTACTTGCCCAAATCATTTTATCTTCAGATTCTATGCAGTTCTCAAGCCTTTCATTCCTTGGTAGATTCCACTCAATTTAATTCAACAAGCATTCATTAAGTACTCATGTAACAGTGCTAGGAACTGGAATTAAAAGGTCAAAAATGTCCTCAGGAAGCTAATGTTATGCTGGGAAGGTACAATGGGCATACAAATAAGCATACTTCAAAGTAAGTTGAGGAACAAATAGCGCAGGGTATGTATCAGAAAAGGCTTCACAAAGGAGTTGGCATCTGCGATGAGCTTTAAAGGAAGTCAAGGATTCTAAGAGGTGGAAATAAAGATACGTTCCAAGCATGGGGGCTGGTTTATACAATTTTATGGGGCAAGGCATATTGGGTCTAGGGGTGGCAAGTAGTCTAGTTTGGCGGGAATATAGATTTCTTGAAAGATAGTAATATAAAATAAGGTTGGAACATTAAATGAGAGTCAGATTTTGGAAGTTTTAAAGCTAATTTTTAGTGAGGGTACACCTGATATTATTTTGGCTACTAGTTGGAGGATGTTTTGGAGAGGGAAGACACTGGAATTAAGAAAGATCAATTCGGAGGCTATTGGCCATTGGATAGAAGGGGCTGAATTAGGGTAGTGGTTCTGCAAGTTGTAATAACTTGATGGTAGAAGAGGGATTATGGTGATAAGATCAACAAGAATTAGAAACTGATTGGATGAGGGTAAGGCAATGAAGGAGAAGGAAGAGTCTGAGATGACTTCAAGTTATAAATCTGGCTGTCTAGAATGTTGATACCCTCATCTGAAACAGGGAGATTTGAAGGAAAGGTTGGGTTTGTGGGGGAGTAGGGGGAGGAGGGGGGATGAATTCCATTTTTGGATAATTTTAAGATTTGCTGTGCTTAAAAAATTGTCACCTAATGTCCCATCTTTTGATGATTCAGCCTCTTCTGCATTCAGTTAGGCTAGTCTTTCTGATTATAGAGCAACAAACCCACACCAATATCTAGAGTCAATGCCTTTCCAGCTTCAAATGAGCTAGCAACTTGAACTCAGCTGGCATAGTCTTGGAGAATCTTCATGCCAGGTAAGATGTTGAAGGATGCAAATTGTGGTCATTAGGAATGAACACTTTGCTTCTTAATGGTGCCAGACACTGTGATAAGCTGATAAGCTTTTTTTTTAAACAAATATTATCTCATTTGATCCTCACAACAACCCTGCAAGGTAGATCTTATTATTATCCCCATTTTCTAGTTGAGGAAACTGAGGGAAGCAGAGCTCATTTGCCCAGGGTCACACAGCCAGTTGGTGTCTGAAGCTAAATGTGAACTCAGGTCTTCCCAATTCCAGGCCCAGTCCTCTACCCACTGTGAACCAGGTCCCCATCCAGATGGGGAGGGTCATCTGATTACCTATCTTCCTTTATCCTATCCAACGCTACATTTTTTGGTCATCTTTGCCAATTTTATGAGTGTGAGGTAAAATTTCAAATTTTTTTAATTGTTGTTCTTATTGGTGATTTGCAGCAATATTTCATATGGTTATTGTTAGTTTTTAGTTTTTCTTTTGAAAATTGTTTCTTCAAAAAATAAATAAATAAAATTTTTTAAAAGAAAAAAAAAGAAAATTGTTTCTTCATATCCATTAACCATTTATTTAATAGGGAATGGCTTTTGGCCTTATACCTAGGGCAATCACCTTTATATCCTGAATGTCAGACTAAAAAATATATTGAATGCAAAGAATTTTGGGGCAAAAGCTTTTAAATTTTATATAATAAAATTATATATTTTGTCTTTTATTATCTTCCTTATCCTTATTTCATAGAAATTTCCCTTTCCCCCACATTATAGTTATAAAAGTACCTTCTTCTGTTTTTATTTTTACTTCTTTTATTTTTTGTAATACGACCTTTCATATTTAGGTTATGTATCCATTTGAAGCTGTAGCAGATGCTGGTCTATAGCTAATTTCTGCCAGACTGCTTTCCAGCTTTCCCAGCAGTTCTTGTTAGACCAAGAATCTTACTGGGAAGTATTTCAATGAAAATAGAACAAACAAGAACACCAGTACTATTGATGCTCACTAGAGAGACAGCATGGTTGGAGTGGAATGACCTGAGGACTTAGAGGAAAGCTGCTTGAATCATTGTTCTGACAATGGCCGGCCATAAGCAAACCATTTATTCTCTCTAGGTCTCAGTGTGTTGCTGCTGTTCAGCTGTGGCCCCATTTGGGGTTTCCTTGGCAAACCACTGGAGTGATTTGCCATTCCTTCTCCAGCTCATTTTGCAGATGAGGAAATTGAGTCAAACAGGGTGAAGTGACTTGCCCAGGGTCACATAACTAGCAAGTGTCAGGCCAGATTTGGACTCATGAAGATGAGTCTTTCTGACTCCAGGCCTGACACTCTATCCATTGTGCCACCTAGCTGCCAGGGTCTCAGTTCAGTTTTCTACAAAATACAGATGAAAATAATACATTAGCTACTTCACAGCCTTATTATGAGGAAAGTGCTTTGTGAATCTTCACACACTATATAACTGGAAGTTATTTTTACTATTAAATGTACCATCTCTATGATGGTTGGAAAAGTATGCAAAATTTTTATGACTTGATGACACTTTTACTTCAACTGACAAATTTCAGACTTTCCCTTCAAGGTTGGATGAACAAGTGAAACAATGTTAATACTAAGGCAACTTCTATGGTAAAATAGAATAGAATCATATTCTATTCTTCTCAAATCTGAAAATGAGTCTTTGAAGTTGTCTTAGTCAACTTGTAAATTTAATGCCAAGTACCTAAAGTTAGAGAGGTGGTAAACTACAGGTGCAGAATGGTGCATATGCTATCAGACATGATCAGTGTCTCTATTTTTTTCCTACTAATTGTACTTGGCACATAGTAGGTACCTAATGTTTGTTGAATTGACAAAAAAAAAGGATGAGAATGTAATTTGGAAATGACAGCAATGTAAAAAAAAGCAAAAATGAAAGATTTTATAAACAAAAGAATAAATGAATGAATAAGGTAAAGTCAAATTTAAAAAGTGAAGTGGAAAGTGCTCAAAGCAGGAGTAAAACCTCCTTATCACAAAATCCCTAATCCCAGAAGAGCAGGTGGGAATTTAAATCAGCATATTTCCAAGATGTAGCCTAAACTGCCATGTAAGGCTTCATGCCATTTTCAGGCAAAACTGTCAAGAAAAATATTTCATGCAAATTGAAAAGGAAGGTCTGGACAGAGAGCCAACATGCCCCCCTAAGCAGCACTATGGAGTCTGAACACTAAAGAAGCTGGATCTGGTTTAAGACAGAAGTCATTCGTCATTCATAAATCTGTGAGAGCAATGAGGAAGAGAGAGAGAGAGAGAGAGAGAGAGAGAGAGAGAGAGAGAGAGAGAATGCTTCTGGAATAACAAAGGAGAAATTCTGGCCATAAATTCAAGGAAAACCCAAACCTGACTGGAGCATGACATTTCAAGAAATGTGGCTACAGCCACAGAAATTGCCTACTTGGAAAGATTCTCCACCAGCAGAAAAAGAGCTTAATGCAAAATGCCCAACTGCTGGGGAGTCATGGGCAGAATCTTCGTCTGAGAAAGACAACACATTAATCATTTATTCCTGGAGGCTGTTTTTTTTTTCTGGGTTCTTTTTTACTTCCTCTTATTTATTATTCAATTAAACTTAAACTTGTCCAAATACTGGATTTGATTAGAAAAAGGGTAGAGGAGGAGCCTCAGAAGAAGGAAATGTATGCTGTAACCTTTAGGCATTGTGAAATATGGCAGGTTTAACTCTCAGGACAAAAGGCAAGGCAAACAGTACTTTTTACTTGTCCAGGGGACGGCTGCTGACAGCTAGTAAATTGACCCACAGCTCAAAGGTGCCCCTGATACACAATCAGCAAAAGTAATGAAAAGCTCTCTGGGGGTGCAAGTGGTGGGCTGAAATAGCCCCTGGAAAAAAGGGGGAACCCCCTTTGTTAAACGGGGAAGGGCAATGGTGGGAGGAATAATCCTACCTTCATTTCTCAGGACTCTCTAACAAAGCCTCAACGTGAATCAAGGTCCTATTTTCTGTTGTCTTATTGTTGTTTTCCTCCTCAGCTTGCCAGTCTGGTCTCTTCTCAGACTTTCACTTTCACTGAAAAGTGCAGACTTATCTTCCCCAATTATAAAGCCCCTCTCCTTAGTCAAGCATTATGTGGGCCAAATTTTAAGAAGTCAACAAGCATTTATTTAGTGCTTACATGTGACCAGCACAGCGTTACTTTAGGGCAGGTTTTCAAGGACACATATATTTCAGGCTAAGCAAAATGCAGTAAGTAGCTGGAGAATTTTTGAGTTACTCGAGATTTCCTCGTTGTGGGGGTGGGACAAGGCAGTAAGAGGATAAGGAGGTTCCTAAAATCAGTTTTCAACACCTTGCAACACTATTATGAGTCATAATATATCTAGCCAGTCCAATTTTACCCCCTTAGGAGAATCAGGCTTTCTATTAGTAAGGTAAATATATCTTAGCTCAGCCTTCTATACTTTCATTATCATATGGAAATAACTTAGCAAACTAATATACACTCTGAGCAATTAAAGAGTAAAATTTTAGAATTCATCCCTCACTAAAGAAAGTTCACCATGAACTGAGACTATATGATAACAGATTTCTCATAATAAATCAAAGTCTTTTTTGGTACCATCTTGAACTAAAAACCTTAGTGCTTATGCTTTTTTTATGTCTCTTTCCCCTTTTCTTTTTTCCTTTATTATCTACTCTACTGAGAATTCAATTTAGCAAACTTTTATTAAATGCCTACTACATGCTAGTGATGATGGGAGATACAATGATAAAGAAAGGCACAACCCTGCTCTCAAAAAGTTCACAATCTAGCAGAATCTAAGAAGTTAAAAAAAAAGAGCATTATAAGCAAAATATTTAAAATTTGAGGAAGCTAAGAAACATAGATTCTAGGAGCTGAAAATCATACCAGAATCATAGATTCTAGCAGTAGAAAAAGATCTTGGCATTACCTAGTCCTTTTACAAATGAGGAATCTGAGGCCCAAAGAGACTTGACCTGTATTCTACTCAATCAGAACTAGAACTCAATGTTTGTAGTAAATCTCAGAGTAATGGATCATATTTATTCTGATTTTCAAGTGCTTATCCTTGAGATGTGATATATTACTATCCCCATTTTACAGATGAAAAAGTAGACTCAAAGAGGTCAGGTGACTTGCCCAGAGTCATGCAGCCTAGTAAGAATGGGAACCAGGGCTGGATCCCATGGCTCCTGACTCAGTGTTGCCTCTGGTTGTGGTTCTTTATTTATTTTTTTTTTTAATTTTTCTCTTTTAATCTGAGGCTATGAGACTCAAGTCTTTCCTTACAGGGTACATGAAGGTATAAAAAAATGGCATAGAATAACTTTTTTTTAACTAGGTAACCATTATATAATTAATTTGTTTCTTTTTAAAAATCTTTTTTCAATTATCAAGCATTTGTTTTTCCTTCTACTGCCTACTGAAAAGAAAAGAAAAACAAAATCCTTGTAACAAATATGCAAAGTCAAGTATAATAAATGAACACATTGGCCCAGAAATGTTTGTTTCCTTCTGCATATCAGCTCATAACCACTCATGCTTCATCTTCAGTTCTCTAGAATCATGTTGATCAGTGGGTTGGCCAGAATGCTTAAGTCTTTCAAAATCCTTTTGCACAATCTGGCTGTTATAGTTTAAATTGTTCTCCTGGTTTTCACTTCATTCTGTATGAGTTCATATTCGTCTTCTCAAGCTTCTCTGAAACCCTCTGTTTCATCATTTCTTCTAGCACAGTAGTTTTCCATTATATTCATATGCCATAATTTGTTAAGCCACTCCCCAACTGATGGATACTTCCTTAGTTTCTAGTTCTTTCCAGAACATGCATGACTTTGCTGTTTTCTTTGATCTTTGAGTATATATAGACCTAATAATAGTTTCACAAAGTCATAGAATATGCAGAGTTTGGGAATTTTTGGGTCAAAATTCCAAAATATTTTGCAGAATGGCTGGATCAATTCACAGCTTCACCTCCTGTGTCTCAACGTGCCTATTTTCTTCGCCAACATTTGTCATATTCATTTTTTGTAACTTTTGCCAATATGATCAGTGTGAGGTGCAACCTAAGGGCTGCCTTTACTTGCAGTCCTCTAATTATTAGGGATTTGGGACATTTTTTAATATGGCTATAAATAGCTTGGATTTCTTCCCTTGAGAACTTCCCACTCATCCCTTATTTATCAGTTGGTTAATAGCTCTTATTATGAATTTGAATCTATTTCTTTTATATTTTGGAAATAAGACCTTTATAAGAGAAACTTTCTGCAAAGATTTTTTTTTCCCAGTTAACTTTTTCCCTTGTTATCTTTTCTGTAATGATCATTAACTCATTTCTTGGCTTCTAAGATTATGATTACATACATTCCTTGCAGGTAGGAAACCTTCTTTATCTTTGTAATTCTCCCATCTAGCACATCACTTTGGACATAGTTGATAATCAATAAATGGCACTGTTATGATAATAGTTATAATAACAGAACAGAAAGAAACCTCAGAGATCACCCAGTCTGAATTTTTCATTTTACAGAAAAGGAAACTTTTGAGTCCAAAAGAAATGAAATGATTTGTCTAGGGTCTGGAGCTAATTGATGGAGAAGCTATGACTAAATCCTATTGCTTAATTGTTTGATTTTGTGGTATATCTATTGATCTATAGGCATTTAATAAGGACCTATAATGTGCCAGGCATTATTACTAGGTGCTGAGAATACAAAGATAGAAATCACAGAATTTGAGAAGTGGAAAGGACCTCAACTGCAGTCTCTGCCCTCAAAACTTATATTATATAATACATATATGCATGTTGGTCTAGATTTGTGATTGTGTCAGTACTGGGAACTCTGAGAGAGAAACTTCTCACAGTGTAGATCAGTACCTTCTCTCCAATTTATATTCCTGAGAGGTTAACAGTCACATCATCAGAAACGAGACTTGAAGACAGGTCTTCCTGACTCCAAGGCTAACTGCCTAACCACTATTCTATGCTGATTTTATATACATACATGTGTATATGTATACATGTACATACATACATGTGTGCATACATAGATATGAGTATATGTATATAAAATTTGGGGGCAGCTGGGTTGCACAGTGGATAGAGTACCAGGCCTAAAGTCAGGAAGACTCATCTCCCCAAATTCAAATCTGGCCTCAGACACTTACTGGTTATGTGACCCTAGGGTAAATCACTTAACCTTGTTTCCCTTAGTTTCTCAATCTGTAAATGAGCTGGAGAAAGAAATGGCAAACCATTCTGATATATTTGCCAAGAAAATCCCAAATGGGCTCACAAAGCAGGATATGACTGAAATGATTGAACAACAACAAAAAGAATTGAATAGGAGTTTGGAAATAGCCTGGATTGCCTTAGGGGAAACTTCACTTCACTCTTAATGACTTCAAGTTTCATCCTCAAACAAAGGCCCACCTCTTTGGAGTCAATATTCTTTCAAGGATGCTGTGATGGCTGTGATTCATAGGATGCCACTCTCCAAAGAATTAAAATGGTGAGTGACCATAAGGGGAATAAAAAGATTCATAATCCCTTTGAGAAGGCTGTGCTATATTGTTAAGGAAGAATTGTACCAAAAAAGTGAGGTAAACAATATCACCAGATGTATAAGAGGCATTTCAGTAGCACAGTGCATAAAGTTGCTAGGTTTGGAGTCCAGAACACCTGAATTCAAATATGACCTCAGATACTTACTAGCTATGACACATTGGGCAAGTCATTTACCCTCTTTTGTCTCAGTTTCCTCACCTTTAAAGTGCAATGTAAATTGTAGCTATCATTATTAAATAGGAAAGGAAATGATCTAGTGACAAAGTATAAGAAGATAACCAATGGAACCATCCACATATATTCCACTGATATCATGTCAGTGTCAGGAGATCTATAGGAAGGCTTCCACTGATTTGGGCAGGCCTTACAGTTGATTTATAGGAGGACATGGATAAGAGAAAGTGTGGATAGAGTGTGATATGCACATTCAAGGCTTTGAGGTTCACAAAATGCTCTTATTTTATACACTCAATAACACTATGAAGTAAGTACTATTATCCTCATTTTATAGATGAGGAAAGTGAGACAAAGAGAGGTTAAACAATTTGCCCAAGGTCTCACAGCTAGGAAATGTCTGAGGTTAGATTTGAACTCAGGTCCTCCTGACTCTTGGGCCAGTGCTCTATCTACTGTGCCACCTCGCTTCCCCTTGCAAATTTTTATTTTTTTTTTAGGCAATTGGGGTTAAGTGACTTGCCCAGGGTCACACAGCTAGTAAGTGTTTGGTCTGAGGCCAAATTTGAACTCAGATCCTCCTGACTTCAGGGCCGGTGCTCTATGTACTGCCACCTAGCTGCCCCTTGCAAATTTTTTAAAACAGCTAATCTGCTTTGATACACAATTAGCTATTATCATCTAGAAGTCATTTTAAAAATTCTAGTTGGGAATGTTATCTAACCCTAAGTGCACCAAACAAAAATAGTTATTTGTGCTGTTGGCTACTAAAAGTTGGGTTATGAAATTCTTAAATTGAGAATTTCCACAATTAAGTTATTTCATAAGAAATGATTAAGATCTTTGCAGCTATAAAATTCTACTTCAGTCACAGAAAGGATGGTAGAGAAATAGATAAATCAATGCAGCTAAGACCATTATGTAGTAGTGGGGTTGAAGGCCAATGTATTGAGGCAGAATGGTCTTTAGCACTTGTCTGTGAGAGCCTCTGGAAAAAGCAAGGCTGTCACTGGCCCAGGAAAGCCACAGTTGACTTTTCCTTTGTCCTTAAAAAGGAAGCAGGTACCCTTTGATCCAGCAATAGCGCTGCTAGGTCTATATCCCAAAGACATCCAAAAAAAGGGAAAGAGACCTATTTGTACAAAAATATTTATAGCAGCTCTTTTTGTAGTGACTAAGAATTGGACATCAAAGGGACGCCCTTCAGTTGGGAAATGCTGAACAAGCTGTGGTATATGATTATGATAGAATATTATTGTGCTATAAGAAAGGACAAGCAGGATGATTTCAGAAAGACCTGGAAAGACTTACGTGAACTGATGCATAGTGAAGTGAATAGAACCAGGAGAATGTT